GCGCTGGGGAAGACAGCGGCGGCGGCGCCGAGACTTGGGGGGGGTGAGTTAAGGGCGGAGGAGGCAGCCAGGCCTGAATGTCGGGGATCCGGCCAAAGCCTCCCCCCCCACTAAACGGTCTCCAAAACCAGACACCGGGCTCACTGATCTACTAACATTTGAGGAAGGAAGATATACTGCTTCTGAGCGTGGAGGCTCCACAGCCACTGCTTTCTTTCATGTTCTTAATCTACATCACCCTCCCCCGCCTTGTTTTTTTCCCACGGAATCGGTCCTGGTCGCCATCAAAACATCCTGTGGCAATGAGTTCCTTAAGACTAGTCAGACACAGGCCAGTCAGATACCTGAGTTGCTGGCTCGCTCTGATAGATGGGGTTTTTTCTCAGTTTTCAGTGACTCTTTCAATGCTGGAACTAGGAAGCGGGTTAAAGAGCATGCCTAATTTCAGTGTGAACCATGCTTGCTGTAAAACCTTTTGAATTCTAACAGGGAACGACGGAGCATGCAAGACTTCAGGGAATCCCTCATTTCCCCTCCTCAAGGGTCCTGTTCAGTCTCCCCCAACCTAGTACTCTCCCTACAGATGTTTTGGACTTCAGCTCAAATGATGCCTCATATCTGGCCATCTTAGCAAGGGGGGATGGAAGTTGTGGTCCAAGATAACTGGAATGTGCCAGTTTTAGGAAGGCTGCATGAGTCATCCCAGGCTTTACATAGATTGCAGAGTTCTGGTGGACACTCATTTATTCAGACCAAGCCCAGAGTGTCCAAGACACCCTGTTCAGCATATCTACAAACAGTACATGAGCTAAGGTTTCAGTTGAGTTTGTGGTGCCTCTTTCAGGCAGTCTCGCAAGAGCTTTAGGGCATAGGTACTGTTTCTCCTAATTACAGTAATTTTTAAATTGAGATCTATTGTGAATTTAGGGAATTTTACTTACACAGTGTAACAATTTTCGCATTGTATTTTATTTGAACAAATCCTGTCCCAAGATCTCTTGACAGGATCCATGCATTTCTGCTCACAGGACTTTTCCTTGGAGGTCACGGGGCAAAAATCTTGTGAAACCATATCGCTGATGTAGATTTCCATGTACTGTGGCTTTATTTATTTATTTTATTTATTTATTTATTAGATTCTTATCCCACCCATCTAGACCAAGGGTCTACTCTGGGTGGTATGCAAATTAAAAAAAGTAAAAACCAAAAACCAAAAAGTCCAAGATGGTGAAGTTTTAAAATATGGCAGTTAAGATATGGCAGGAGGGAAAACCTGCCCAAATAGCCAGGTTTTCAGTTTATTCTTGAAGACACCCAGAGAGGGAGCCATGCGGATCTCCATTGGCAAGTTGTTCCAAAAGGAGATGCAGAGCTGAGTATCATCAGTGTACTGATGAAACGAAGCCCCACATCCCCTGATGATCCCACCCAGCGGCCTCATATAGATGTTAAACAGCATTGGAGAGATAATCGAGCCCTGTGGAACCCCACAGTTGAGGCTCCACGGGGCCGAAACACTCTCTCCAAGCTGCACTCTCTGGGCACGGTCCTCCAAGAAGGAACAGAGCCAGGCAAGA